GAAGTTCTTCTAAATCTAAAAGTCTTCGAGAAGAGATTGAGGAGGTCTACTATGTTTAGAATACCTTGAGAAGGTCTTCACATCAAGAAGGACGCGAAAAGTTTTATACAACCAGAAGATCTCAAAAGGTCTTCCACATCAAGAAGGCCTCGAAAAGTTTTCTTCATCCAGAAGAAGACCTCGAGAAGGATTTATACGTCTAAAAAACATCGATCTTAAGAAGTTCTTATACATCTAAAAGACCTCGAGAAAGTCTTCTAAATCTAGCAGACCTCGAAAAGGTCTTCTACGTCTAGAAGATCTCGAGAAGGTCTTCTAGATATAAGATACCTGCTTCAGAGCCTCTGTGTATAAAAGCCTTCCAGAAGATCTTTTACGTGTAGAAAGCCTCCAATAAGTCTTCTACGTAGATTTTTTTCTAGATAGGTATCGAAAAGCTCCGGAGGATTTCTATATATAGAATATCTTTAAAAGCCTTCTTACCTGTAGAAGCTTTTAAGATTTCGTCATTGTACACAAGTCCTCTAGCGGTCCTCTAGCTTTATTTTCCTTTCTTTGCCATTTTCTTTGAGAGTGTTACTAATTTTCCAATTATATTTTTTAATTTGTTTCATATTTTTCTTTCCTTTTTCTTTTTTTTCTAAGGATTGGGGAAATTCGTTTTGATGACAAAACTTTTATTTGTATTGTTGGCTTAATTAAAATTTATTTCTCAAATTTCATGGAAATTAGGAAGAAAACAACACAAACACACACTTCGACACACGTAGAACAGTGAAATATTAACTGTTGACAAATTTTCCTAATTTTGTTTTTTGTTTTCATCTAAGGATGCTAATGGTTTTCATTTCTAGCTCAGGGTAGTGTGTTCAAATGATATGTCAAAGTAAAAAAATATCCCTGTATTTATTAAAGCAAAGCCAATGAACCTGCTGGCATTGCGTTTTCAAATCATAACACACACCCGCATTTATACAAACTGAATTGTAACGGTAACATCAACCACAGGCTCATCCCTTTATAAAGAAATCAAGAACTAAAAAGAAAAAAGATACCAGAATCCGCTCATCCTTTCAGAAACATATTCCCTTCAAACGAGTGTACCAACAAACAAACATACCAACAACCAACCAAACATCCCTGATTCGGGCAGTGACAACAAGCTGAAACAACTTCGCTGACATCCAAGCGATACTGCCTTACGGATTCCGCACTCGACGTTTTTTTTTTTTTTTTTTGCTCATCGCAGTAGTTCACAATGCCGCGCTTTATGTTTTTTTCGTTTGTGTGTGTGTAGGTTATTAAAAAAGTGGATTTCAGTTAAAAAAAACCCTCAGTAAAGGGAGAGATAGAAGGACGAAGGAACAACAACAGTAGAAAGATATATTAAAAAATCTACCGAATGTAAACGTTTTTTTGCCGGATGACTACAGTGCCGAGGAGCACAAAGAATATGTTAAATGTTTTTTAATTAAAATCCAACCCTCGTTTTCTTAATATCATATCGCGTGGCTCCCCATCCAAGTACCAGGCGCCTCCTCCCGCCGGACTATTATCTTTGTTGAAATTGTAACACTCTCAGCACTGCCATAGTAATAATGCGTCGTCATTCCGTAGCTAAAGTAGTTGCAGGCTAAGAGAAATTTCTGATTTAAATTTATCATCGTTTTGGGTGAAATTCTGCAGAAGGAACACATACATATATACTTACATACATATACATTTAGATGTTACATGGCATTGCCGGTTTTGGTAATTTCCCAAAAAAAAAATTGAAGAAGAAAAAATTATAAATTTTACAGAAGACCCCTTACAGACTTATTTAAGAGTATTTTTGGCAATAGCGTCCTTTTCAGATCGTCGAAGGCTAGAAGACCCATATAGGTCATCTATGGACGAAAAATCCTGGATGGAAAACTCTAAAATGACATTTTATGGATAGAAGACCCTAGAAAGGTCTTCGATGGATAGATAGTAGACCCTGAAAAAGTCTTCGATGGATGAAAGACCATGATAGAAGACCATGAGTAGGTCTTCCATGGTTAGAAGACTCTGAGTAGATCTTCCAAGGCTAGAATAACCTGACAATTTCTCCTATAGATAGAATGCCCTGAGGAAGTTAGTCTTCTATGGATCAAAGACCCCGATTAGGGCTTCAATGGATAGAAAACCGTTATATGTGTAGAAGATCATGAACTGATCTTCGGTAGGTAGAAGAACCTGAACTGGTCTTCGGTAGATAGAAGAATTTGGACTGGTTTTCGGTAGAGAGAAGACCCTGAATGGGTCTTCTACTGATAAAAGCAGGTCTTCTATAGTTAGAAGACCCTGAAAATGTCTTCCATGGATAGAAGATCCTGAAAAGGTCGTTTATGGATATAAGAACCTGAACTGGTCCTCTATAGACAGAAGATCCTGAACGGGTCTTCTATAGATAGAGGTCACTAAACGGGTCTTCTATGTATAGAAGACCCTGAACGGGTCTTCTATCGATAAAGCTCTTGACAGGTCTTTTATAGACAGAAGACCCTGAACAGGTCTTCTAAATATAGAAGACCTTGAACGAGTCTTCCAAGGAAAGAACACCCTGAACAGGTCTTCTAAAGATAGAAGAACCTGAACGGGTCTTCGATAGATAGAGGGTCCTAAACGGCCGTCAAGCCCTAAACAGGTCTTATTTAGACAGAAGGTCCTGAAAATGTCTCCCATGGATAGAAGACCCTGAAAAGGTCGTTTATGGATAGAAGACCCTGAAAAGGTCGTTTATGGATATAAGAACCTGAACTGGTCCTCTATAGACGGAAGATCCTGAACGGGTCTTCTGTCGATAAAGCTCTTGACAGGTCTTCTATAGACGGAAGACCCTGAACAGGTCTTCTATATATAGAAAACCTTGAACTAGTCTTCCATAGAAAGAACACCCTGAACGGGTCTTCTATAGATAGAAGAACCTGAACGGGTCTTCGATAGATAGAGGACCTTAAACGGCCCTGGAGCCCTAAACAGGTCTTCTATAGACAGAATATCCTGAAAATGTCTTCCATGGACAGAAAATTCTGAACAGGTCTTTTATGGATATAAAAATCTGAACAAGTTTTCTATGAATAGAAGACCTTGAACAGGACTTCTATGACCTGAATAGCTCTTCGGTGGATAGAAGATCCTAAGGATATATATAAGATCCTGGAATGATCTTTGATCTATAGAAGGCCCTGACCAGGTCTTCCATAAATAGAAAGTCCTGACTAGGTCTTGTATGGATTGAAGACCCTAAAAAGGTTTTCGGTAGATAGAAGACCCTCGTATAGAAAGCCCTGGCTGGATATTCTATTGATAGAAAACCTTACCCTTATCAGGTCTTCAATGGATAGAGACCCTTAGCAGGTCTTTTTTGGATAGAAGACCCTCGTATACAAAGCCCTGACTGAATATTCTATTGATAGAAGACCCTGACTAAGTCTTCTCTTGATAGAAGACCCTGACTAGGTCTTCTATGGATAGAGAACTTGAGCAGGTCTTCTATGGATGGAGACCTTGAGCAGGTCTTCAATGGATAGAAGACCCTGAACAGCTCTTCGATTGAAAAAAGCCTTGCACAGAACTTCTATAGGTAGAAGACCCTAAAAAGATGTTCTATGGATAAAAGACTTTGAACAGATCTTCCTTGAATAAAAGACTCAGAATGGTCCTCTATTGATAAAATGCCCTAAAAAGGTCTTCTATTGATAAAAGACCCTGAATAGGTCTTCTATGAATAGAAGACTCTGACTAGGTCCCATAAAGGTTAAAACAATTTTACTTGGCTTTATTTATAAATATAAGCCCGGAATTATATGGATGGAATACCTTAAAGCGAAGAATACCATTTACAGGTTTCCGTTAGATGGAATACTTTTTCTGAGTCTTCTACTGGAAGGAAAGGCCATAAATGGTACATACCATTCTCAACAACATTCGAGATCACAAAATGGCAAACCTTACCCTACCTATGAAGTGAGCAACGGCATAAGCCCACAGAAATACATATTATTAAAGGACCTTTTACTCAGCCATGAAAGGTAGACAGGGCAGGTTAGCTCATTTGAATATTTAGGTGTTGTTGTTGCTGCTGCTGTTGTTTTTGTGTGGCCCTGTGCGTTTGTCATTCTGTTGGTTGCGTAAAACCAACAGTGTTACCATTTCCTTAGAAAGCAACGCAACATCATTGCTCTTTCTCTTTCACTTTGTTTTTTTTTGCCCAGCATTATTTATTTTTCCCAAGAAGTCGTCTAACCCAAGACACACTGAGGAGATGACAAAAAAATAACGAAACAAGTCCACCATTATTTAGTTAAGTAATTAAAATGACATTTGAGTGTTTTCTAAACAGATTAAAGTTTTAATGCGCTGCGAAAATTGTGATATTGTCTGGGTGGCTACAGCCTCCTGCTGCTGGACGCAAAAGGTACTTTTGAGTCTTAAATTTGAAAACATTTTTGAATACGAAATTTCGGTTTATTTGCATTTGTTAAAGATTACGGGGGGGAAATGAGAAGAAATCTACGTGGTGCGTAGGGGAAGTAATATAACGGCATTGTAAATTGTAAGAACTTAGAATCAAAAATTACATTTAAGGCCTAATTTTCTTTGTCTAATAATCCTTTGTCAATTATGTTTTGCCTTCAACATAAGGCAAAGCAAGATCCGTAGTTTTATTAGATTTTATATTTACATCAATGCAATCCATAGTATTTCTCCAATTAAAGTGATATTTTGAGTAATATATTTAATATTAAATCGGACTAAACATAATTTAATTGGTTAAACTCTTCATTACTAATAACACTTAGTACAAGGTTTTACAAAAAAAAAAAAAAAAAATAAATAAAAAAAAATCTGGTGTATATAAATACGGCTAATTAACTATTACAAATATAATGAAGTTTTTATTTACGAGAGCGCTTTTAGTTAATACTTAAGTTCTCTTCAGCGTCTCTTATAGGATCTATTTAAGTACTTACCACAAAGGAATCCCAGTTTAGTGAATAACTGAAAGATAAAAGATTAATTAATAGATGTTTATTGAAGATGAAGAAGAGGTAGAGACAATTGAGCACCTACTATTTGACAGTTTGGGAGATAGAAACTCTAACGTACTTCTCAGACAAAGATCCTATCAACTTCTAGTACAAGTTTGCTAAAATCCTTTCCGTAATAGCTATACTTCTCTCTATTAACGCTTTATTATACCCTCCACCATTATATGGAGGGTATATTAGCTTTGTCATTCCATTTGGAACTCCTCGAAATATTCATAATAGACCCTGTAGCGATGTCCGTCTGTCTGTTCCAATCACTTTCGAATAAATTGAGAGAAGGCTAAAATTTTGCATACATGCTTAGTTTACCAGTGGGCAGGTTAAGTTCGTAAATGGGCAATGTCGGTCCACGTTTTCGTATAGCCGCCATACAACGGTACCTCCGGATACTCGGCATTTTAATGACTTTAGCGACATTATTTACCGGAATTATTTCGAATTTCGTATTTGAAGTCCGTAATGGGTATTTCTGAATTTCCTCTCTATTCTCTCACCCAACAATAAATTTAGGATTTTTTTTCGTACAATTATAGGACCACCTGCATATCTCATTTCCATATACTAACAGGACCTCAATATAAACATTTCACAATTCCAGCCCTATTCCTTCACCAAATATCAAATTTTGTACCATTTAGTACTTTTCGTACAAATCAAACCACCGCCAAATCTCAAACACGGATACCATCGGTAATCCAAATTTCAAATTTTGGCATTTTCTCTATGTTCTTTCACACAATACCCAATGTAGTACCATTCAGTACTTTTCGTACAATTATGGTACGCATTTCCGAAACCACCTACATAAACAAGGTGGCGCAAAAGTAATCCTTTTATCAGAAAATGCTATAAATTTTACGATTAGCCCTTAATATCTTAATTACAGACAAGTAATATGTACTTGACAGACATTCCGAAGTTTATAGCCTACACCACAAAGTGGTCAGGGCATTATGTCTCACTTGGAAATGCACAAAAGGAAATGAGATAGACCCATACTTCCCTACGATGAATCACATTCTGAGTCTGTCCGTAATTCGTTTGAACCAAGGACGAACCCTTTTGAAATTGTGGTCAAAATTTAGATATAGCACCCAAATATATAATCGTCCGATTTGCCTTTTATTGTGCATCAAACGTGTAATATAAAAATTAGCCTGGAAATCATAATGCGAAATATGATCGAAATCGGTTCATATATAGCTATAGCTCTCATATATACTCACCCGATTTGTTATTTTTTGTCCTCCGCAACCATAATATGGTCTCTATAACAACGATATTTGGGAAAATATATCAAATACAGCTCAGAAATACCTTTGCCAAATATTATTGAGATCGGTTCAGATTTCGATATAGCTCCCATATATCTTCGTCCGATTTGCATTTAATTGTGCACCAAACGTGTAATATTAGCCCAAGCGGGATAGAATTAAGCACTTACGACCAATTTGAGCTTAGAAACAACTATGTCAAATTTGGTGAAAATCGCTTAAGATATAGATAAAGTTGCCATATATATTGTTCATCTGATTTGTTATATTTGTTCTCCAAGGACGAACCCTCTTGAAATTGGAGATAATCGGTCTAAATTTAGATATAGCTCCCATATATATCTTCGTCCGATTTGCCTTTTCATTGAGCACCAAACGTATAATATCACCCCAAATAGTATGGCATTTTGCACATACGACCAAATTTAGCTTGGAAATAACTATGTCAAATATGATCGAAATAGGTTCACATATAGCTATAGCTCCCATATATATTGCTCATCTGATTTCTTATTTTTTGTCTTCCGCAGCCGTAATTTGCACTCCTTAACAACGATATTCGGGGAAATATATGAAACACAGCTCAGAAATACCTTCGACAAATTTTATCGAAATCGGTTCAGATTTGATATATATATCTTTATACGATTCCTAATTAATTGTACACCAAATATATTAACATATAAGCTCGAATTGGAAGGCACAAATGCCTCGGTAAATTTGGTAGAAATCGATTCTCTCAAATATTAGTTCCTTTGGACTTTAAATTTAAATTATAATCAATGTTGGTATGAATTAATACCCGCGAATTCCCCAATAAAAACATTTATTTGTTATGTGAAGCTCAACCATATATATGAAAATGTGTGTAGGGTATCATAATGTCGGCCCCGCCCGACTTTTAGACTTTTTTACTGGTCTTTGTCTGTAATTATGACATTAGTGGCCAATCGTAAAATATATAGCATTTTTTGAAAATATATAGCATTGCGACGCCTTCTAACACGTTCAGGTATGACACATTTCAAGCACTATCTGTTCACTCAATAGCAAATTGTACCAAATGTAGTACTATTTAGTAGTTTTTTTTGCACCAAATTTAAAATTGTTAGCTCCTCTGGTACGATTTTAGAAATGTAGCACTATTTTAGAACTTTTTGTAACAGTAATGTTAGAATTTTCAAAAACCCTTTTCTACATCTATCCGGAACTCCATCAGTTATTCTTATTCTCAATTTCAGAATAGCTCATTCTAGCTCATTCCGTTTGTCTGATACAATATATTTCCAAAAAACTCAGCCTTGTCACACGCTTACGCAACAAATCAGGGCCTACTAGTGCACGACTTCAAGATTCTAGCTTCAACCGTTTCGTCTGGGCGTTAATTCAGGTCATTTAGTTTGTTATTTTACTACTTTTTAATATATACTAGCTGACCCGGTCCGCGTTGCCAGCCCGTACTTTTAGTCTCTAATGCATATTTTTTAAAGCATAATAAGTTCACAGTTCTGACTTATGTAAGCGACGCAATTGTTATTATAAGAAATGAATCCATAATAATTTCTAAATAGAAATAAATATTCATGACAAGAATCATAATACTGTCGGTTTTTTAAGTTAAAGATAAATACTATTTTACCGTAAAGTGGGAACTAATTTTTTTGTCATTAAAATTGTGCATTGGAGGCCCGATAAAGTCCATATTTTTAATCATAGTATAATTCAATGATGATTAAACAAATGTTCGGTCCTCGTGCTACTTTCTAATACTCGTACTTTTATGTTTCTGCCACAATTTCCGACTGAATGAGTCCTAGTTTGTTAATTGCATATGGACGTACATCCCAAATTTACATTACCAACTATTATTCTCTTGGGGGTTACAAATTCAATAGAATACAAACTTTTCTTTTCTGACCACACATTGGTTGGGAAAGTGGACTTGGGGGTACAAATGTGATTACTATACTAAAAATTAATGCCTATGTGGACAATTATCTGTAAGATGGTGGTCAATTGATGAATGGGGCTATGCCTAATGGGGAACCAATAGTAGCCAGTTATTTCTGGTATTGATTTCACAATACCGAAAATTTTAAATGTCAAGTTACAGATAATTCGGTAGAAATTATAACAAAAATATGCAAAAGGACGAATTTTTAGTGGTATTATTATACCTAAACGAAACTGATATATCCTAACTTCCTAGGAATATTGTAGTTCAAAGACCACGAAAACAGCTTATAACAAAACGTGATCAAATTACCAACATTTGCCGAAATTAATATGAAAAATATGATTAAAATTAATAATATACTTGAAATGTTGTACACTTATCCGGGGGCTATGACCCATATCACGACCTGCAAAAGCGATTAAAGGTATCTTGAAAGTTAAGGTGTAATTTCTGGAAGAATATAACTATAGTTGTCCAATTCGTTCTACTATCTTTGCACCCTTTACATTCGGTATTTCACTGATTTCAATTAGTCGATGGTTGCGTTCGCAGTATGGCACGTAGCGCCATCCTGTTGAAACCACATATCCTCTGGATCAATGTCATCCATATTTTTAAACAAAAAATCATTGATCTTGGTGAGGTAACGATCACCATCGACCGTAACGCGAGTTTCGGCCTCATTTTTGAAGAAATAAGGTCCGATGATGCCACCAGCGTGAAAACCGCGCCATACGGTGAATTTTTCTGGATGTAACTCTGTAGAGTCGTTTGTGGATTGGTCTCACTCCATATATGGCAATTTTTCTTATTAACAAACCCGTTAAGCCAAAAATGCGCCTCATGGCTGAACACAATTTTGCGATAAAACAACTGGTCATTTGCCAACTGCTCTAGAGCCTGATATTCAAAGTAAATTTTGATAATTTCGTAGCGTTGTTCAAGCGTGAGTCTATTCATGATGATTTGTCAGAGTATACTGAAACAAATAAAAAAAATTCATCAAAATTTAATTTTTTGTGTTACTTTTTACAACTTAAAGTTCTATCTAGCTTAAAAAAAAAACCTTTAAGACATGAAAGATCACCATTCAATATCATTTTTTTGCCAGCACGCCATTCCGAAATTGTACGAATTGTCAAAATCCAGCCATGCCTGAGTTATAAGCGTAGTAACTAATACAACAATATATATATATATATATATATATATATATATATATATATATATATATATATATATATATATATATATATATATATATATAGATAGATAGATAGATATAGTCAGTGAAAACTGCTATTTCCCTTTTTTAATTATTAATTTAAAAAAGCTTTTAAGTAACAGAACTCCGCCATACTAAAACTATTGCGTTTTACATTTTAAAGAAGCTCCTGTTCAAATCAAACGAAAATCATTCGTTTAGCCCACGTAAATTCAAACACCCACATTCCTAACTAAGACATTTAATTTGGCCATGCAAATGACCGCCATTTTCGGAAAGTGATTAATTAAATGCCAAAAGAGTTGAATGAAATCAATGTCATTTAATCTTTAAGGGACTGGCCCATTTTGGAAAAATATAATGTCATTTGGCAAAAAAAAAAAAAAACGGAAAAGAGAAACACCGACAACGCACAATGAATGAAGCTTCTAACTACCGTACCCACCCACACTCTCTCTCACACACACAAAACTACGGAGCACAGCTACCACAAA